CTGACAATACCAAGTCAAGGGTTAAGATCCCCTTATCAGTCATCTTAAAAAAAAAAAAAAAAAAGAATGTATTGGTTATTATAATTAATATACCTTGGTTATTCCTGACCCTTTCCACATGCTAGTCCTCTGTTATGTTCTATATACTCCACTCTGCATTATGTCTTTCATTCTCTATTATGAGTGGGCTTCCTTCATTTTTCCCTTTATCCGAATCTTACCTAGGTTTCCAGGCTGACCTCTGGTAAATCCTACGATCATTCTAATAGTTAAATGATCACTTCCTAATTTAAATATCTATAGCATTTTCTGTATCATTCTGCATTTAATTAAAACTGCTTTCCATCCTCATAATTTTTCATGTATAAGTTTGTTAATCCAACTTTTGTAAACTCTTTGAATGTCCTGATTGACATGTCATGCATCTTTGTAAGTTCCTATAGCCAGCATTAAGTGCTTAGTATTTGTTGTGTAAAATAAAACGCTTAATAGAAACCTCAACTCTGATCATACTGTCTTTNCCAGGGAATTCTGACTCCTATTAAAATGAGAAGCTCTGACATAGCACTGGGTAGGGGAGGGAACCCTTCCTGCCACTGTAGAGAAGTTATGGGTAGCCCTTAAGTTCTCAAACAAAATTGTAGCATTGAATTTTCTATGAAAAATGTGTCGGCATGACAAAAATAACTGACAGCACAGGATCTAGTTTCAGAGGGACCCTGAGCCTGTTTCCTTCTCTATAAAGTGGATACTGTACCATCTACTTTGCAGGTATATAAGAATCAACATTCACTCTAATATCTAACTGAAGTACAAGTTCCTTTTAGAAAAATTTTAAATAAACTGAAAACACTGCAATTTGAGATAAATTAGCTGGCAGTAGTATTTGTAATATTCTAAATTACCTATGAAAAAATCAAACAAGCATAGTATTGTCAATAACACACACTTGAGATGAAGGAAAAATTTCACTACAAAGTTTATCCTCTTTTTTTGATACTTTCTCTTTCCTGTAATTTTTTTCTTTCACTTGTGATTAAAAACAAATGTTCAAAATTATCCCCAAAGAGAAATATTTGAAAAGCACAATTTAACTAAATATAAGTGGTTCTATAAATGTAGCATTCCAGCTTAGAGTTCAAAAATACTTCCAAATAGGAATCACATAAATTTAAGAAATTAAAATAATGACGAACAGCTCATATGCTGATCTGAATCAGTAATTTCAAATTAAGAGTTGTTCCAACTTGAAGCTGGCAATCACACAGAGTCTAAAGGGTTGTTTACAGCACTGACTAAACCAAATACCCCAATCTTTTAGAAGATTCATCCTGGCATTCTAATAGTGATCAATTACTTTAAAACAGTATAATTGCTGAAATGCCCAATGCTACACAAATGAAACCCAAAATGGGTTTCCTTCTAATGGAAAAAAGAAAAATGGCAAGCCATATTTTTAACCTGTGATTTTTTTCCAGTTTGAGGTTATTAATAAAATGCTGCCCGTTCACTGAAGAACAGAACTTGCTACTTGGAATAACCTTTAAGCGTAGGGAACCAAGTAAAAATTTAAAGACAGATGGATTTGTTCTCTTTAGGATACAGCGGTAGTGGGTTTTG